AAGTTACCTATGACTATTCTAAATGTACTTAACATGCAGTTCCACTTTTCTTTTTTATAGTTAATCTGGTCTCACGTTTTTCTAACCCATTCATTACCAAGCCATCAGAGTGATCTTTCTAGAATAGAAATTTCATGTTATTCCCCAGATTAAATGGCTCACCACAGTCAGTAGGATCAAGTCCTTAGTATGAGAAAAAAAGGAAGGAAATGAAAAAGAAAAAAAGGGGGAATATAGAGAAGAGAAAAGAAAAGAAAGAGAAAAGAAAAAACCTGCCTATATCATCAGCCTCACCTCTCAGAAAGCTCACCACTCAAATCTCACAGTTCAATTCTCCGTTATGTTCAGTTCCTCAATATACCTGTGTCTTTGTCATTTGCCAAAAATATCTCACTTTTTACTCACCAAACTATGTTAAAACACTACTTACCTTTAACAAGTAAGACCTATGGAGCAGTTGAGATTTAGAAAAATTAAAAGTTAAATTGAGAAACTTCTAATCCTGATTGCCAGGAAAAGAAAAAATAGCCTAAAACCTGGAACAGATTTTCTGGCATGATAAATGAACATTAGATATTTTAAAATGATACACCAGGTACATTGTGGGGTTTTGTTAACTAGCCTGGACATATAATTAGCATCTCTATGGGAAAATGCATTCTAGGTTCCAAAATAACTTACAAATCACTTTTAGAGCACAATTTAGTCTGATTTTTTAAAAAATACACATCAAGGCTGAGGTGAGTGGATTGCATAAGCCTGCGGGTTCGAGACCCACCTGGGCAACTTGGTGAGACCTCATCTCTACAATAAAAACCAAAAAAATCAGCCGGGTGTGGTAGTGCATGCCTATAATTCCGGCTACTCGGAAGGCTGAGGCAGAAGGATCACCGGAGCCCAGCAGGTCGAGGCTGCGGTGGCTGGGAGCAGCCACTGCACTCCAGTCTGGGTGACAGAGTGAGACTCCAACTCAAAAAAAAAAAAAAAAATACACATCAGATTTCAACTATAACAGAGATGGCATTTCCAATCAGAAAAACAAACAAAAAAGATGAACTGTTCAATAAATGATAGTAGGACAAATACATCTTAGCATCTAAGAAAAAATAAAGTTGGATCATACCTCACATTGTATTACAAGGATACATTCCAATTATATCAAAGACTAAACCATAGAAGAGGAAGTGGCAAAGATAAGCTGCATGCCTGCACCCAGATTCCAGATTCCATGCCCCTGGTGCTGAGTGGGCACTAAGCCTACCCTGGCCAGGATGAGGGTGAAGTAATTCCTGAATCAGAACATGCTCTGGAGTTCCTGGAACCATGTGTTCCTGCCTTCTGGCAGCAGAACCCAAATCCCTATAACAAACATGTCTTGAAACAGTACACCGGGAGACAAACCCTGAACAGAAGCTTCGATCCTGGTAACTCCTGACCAAGAACAACAGGATGTATGCTAGGATGAGCAATTGTTTCCTGCCATTTTTGCTCATTCGTGTCCATCCTGGAGGACTCTATTGTGGACCCACAGAATCAGACAATGATCACCTTCACCTGGAACACCAACCACAAGCAGCTGATGGTGATGAAGGAACAATACGTTTGTTTACCATGAAGACTTCCATAACAGCTGTAGCAGCTGGACCAAATCCACCATAATGTCAGGGTCTCATGTAGTTAATTTGGTGTCTCCAGAGCTGTCCAGAAATTTGATCTTGCCCAGTTCAAAAGCCATGTGACCGAGATTATAAAGGGTTTTGTTTACATCTTGTCCAAGGTGAAGCCCCTTCCAAAACATTTGTTGAGATACCCAAGGAGGTCAAAGAGAAGGCGGCAAAGGAGATGGCACTGAAAGCTAGAGAAAAAGTTAAGGACCTTCTCAACAAAGCAGTGTCCTAGAAGCAGCGGTAACAAAGAGTTTGTGTAGCCAGTCCAGGCCCTGGTGCAACTCCCCAATCCTCCTGACCACCACTATAACACAGAAAACCTGGCTCAAATGCCTCTGCCATCTCCACATTGTACTTTATAATTAAAAATCAACCTCCAGCCCTATCTGCTGCCTGAGTGATGGGTTGGGGTGGGTGTTTTGTATGGCATCTGTAATATACTAAGCACAATAACCATGTCTAAGCTAGGCCTGTTTTTTTTCCTTTGGGCGGCTGAGGACAGAGGCACACTGAAGTGTGGTACTTGCCCAGGGCCACAGACAGTATGCCGGTGAAGTGACAATAAATGCTAGACGATATGCTCCAGAGGGCAGGGATATTTGTTTTGTTCTCTGGTGTGTCTCAAGTACCTGGAACCACGTCTACTACATAATAAGCAATCAATCAATATTTGTTGAATTCAGTCAGCTACCCCCAAAAAACTAAAGAAAAACATAAAAAAATACTGTTATAATTTGGAAATAGGGACGGCCTTTCTAACTAATGATTTAATAACATATAGAAGTCATGAAAGATAAGATTAATAATTTAACTAATGAAATCAAAAACTCAGCCAGGCTCGGTGCCTCAGCCTGTAATCCCACACCTTTGGGAGGCTGAGGTGAGTGGACTGCCTGAGCCCACAGGTTTGAGACCCGCCTGGGCAACTTGGTGAGACCTCATCTCTACAATAAAACAAAAATTAGCCGGGTGTGGTAGCGCACGCCTGTAGTTCCAGTTACTTGGAAGGCTGAGGCGGAAGGATCACCAGAGCCCAGCAGGTTGAGGCTGCGGTGACCGGGAGCGGCCACTGCACTCCAGTCTGAGCGACAGAGTGAGACTCCGACTCAAAAAAAAAAAAAAATCAAAAACTACTGCATGAAAAAATCCCCATAAGCAAAGACTAATAAATGGGCAAAAAACAGTCCACAACTCATATCAAAAAAGCTTAATAATATATGAGGCGCTCCCATGAAAGCGTCAACAAGTCAAAAAGAAAAAGGTCAATAACTAAATCATAAAAGCATATAAATAAATCACAGAAGAGAGGCCGGGCTCGGTGGCTCAGCCTGTAATCCCGCGCTTTGGGAGGCTGAGGTGAGTGGATTGCCTGAGCCCGCGGGCTCGAGACCCACCCGGGCAACTTGGCAAGACCTCATCTCTACAATAAATCAAAAAATCAGCCGGGCGTGGTAGCGCATGCCTATAATTCTGGCTACTTGGAAGGCTGAGGCGGAAGGATCGTCGTAGCCCAGCAGGTCGAGGCTGTGGTGGCCAGGAGCAGCCACTGCACTTCAGCCTGGGTGACAGAGTAAGACTCCAACTCAGAAAAATAAATAAATAAATAAATCACAGAAGAGAAAAAAAATTGTATTTCAAAATATAAACAGATGCTCAACTTCATTAATAAGAGAAATGCAAAATTACTGCTCTGAGATACCAACTTTCACCTATTAGATCACCAAAGCTATCAAGAACAGATTTCTCATTCATTGCTGCTGGGAGCATACATTAGTTCAACTACAGAAAAAATAATTTGGGAACACCTATCAAATTAAATGCAAAAACTCTTTGACCCAACATTTCCAACTTCTGGGAATTCATAATCATAAAGATATACTTGCATGCAAGCAAAATGACATATATACAAGCATTATTCATAAAAGCATAAGACTAGAAAGTGATTACATAAAACGGTAAAAAAAGAAAGACTGATAACATGAAGATAAATTGCTGAGAGAAACAATTAAAATGCAAAAGAATATGTACAATGAGAATGGGGAGTATGAGAATGGGGGAGTAACTATGTATCTGTCTATTCATATTTGTATATGCAAAAGATACCAAGAAGGATGTGCAAGAACATAATAATTACATTGGTGGCAGGAAACTTGTTAATAAACTGGGAAGTCAGGTGCAGTGCTTCATGTCTGTAATCCCTACACTTTAGAAGGCCGATGTGAGAGGATTGCTGAGCTCAGGGTTTGAGACCAGCCTGGGCAACTTAGTGAGACCTCGTCTCTACAACAAATCAAAAAATTAGCCACACATGATGGCACGTGCCTGTAGTTCCAGCTACTTGAAAAGCTGAAGTAGAGGATTGCCTGAGTCCAGCAGGTTGAAGCTGTGGTGGCTGTGAGCATGCCACTGCACTCCAGCCTGGGCAATAGAGTGAGACTCCAACTCAAAAAAATAAAAAATAAAATAAATAAATAGGGCAGGTGGGAAAAAAAAGTAACAGAGAGTTTTTAATTTTTTTTTTTATGTCGGAAAATGTGACTATAGCATAGTCTGAACATTAAATTTTAAAATATATATAGCCAGTCAAAAACATTGTATTTTTCCCTCTTATTTACTCATGCCATTACTGTATTCTATGCCAAAAATACTTTAGAATTGGCTGCCCAAAATGGAAGAGTATGATAATAGAAGTTAAAGCTCAACTTTTTTTTTAGTTTCCTCATCAGTTATTTTCAGAGTATATCACGGTTTAATAAATTCATGTCTACAACATTTTTAAACAGTACTGAGCTAAAAAGAAATATGACGTCTCTGAGGAAGATAACTAAAAGTAGGACTGAAAATAAGTAATAAACAAGGGCCCTAAGGAAAGCATACCAAAATTTAGGACAGAAGTCAGTATTTTTTTACATTCAAGCAATAAAGATTCTCAGGATGTTAAAATTAACATTCACTGGAAACATCATCTGTCTAAAGATACACAAAAGAAAAAAAAATCTAAAACACATTTTAGCTCTAACAACAAAAAAAGGCTTATTTTTCAAAAATTATTTCTACTATATGAAATTATATACCAAAAAAATCAAGATTTTAATTAGAAGTATATAAATCTCTCTGCATATAATATAGTCAATGCTTAAGTTTGTCCACAAACTAGAAAACCTGTGTTTCAATACAAAAAGGATTCATAACTTACATCCAGTACTGCTAAAAATATTTGAGTAATAAATACCACTTAATTTGTTAAATAGTATGAACTACCAGATATTTTTAAATACCCCCCCACCACTCCAGTTCTCGATAAAATTTTTTTCAGAAAATCTCTGCACTTACCCCCATTATCTGTTCTTTTTAAAGCTCCATCCTTATGGGGACAAAGTTCACATCTCTATTTAAAAAAAAAAAAAGTGAAATGAAGAGATTTTTCAGATTACCACAGACATAACATCTTCCCTGCAATTTCACAACTATTGAAAATGTGGCAACAGTACTTGTACTGTTAACAGTTGCCCCAAGAATATTTTAGAATATTTTTCACAAATAGTTGCTCTCAATGACATATATTCATTGGAGCACAAGATAAACAATTTCTTCGAAACACATCTTATCTTTTAAACCACTATTACAATTTTTTAAAATCTAACATTAATAAAAACAAACGCATACTCTCAACATAGGATTGCAGAACAGCTTTTAATATCTGCCTGTTGTCACTTAACTTTCTAAGATCTGCAAGAATTACTGAGGTCAAGAGGTCTTAATTATTGAGCCAAACTCAATAATTATTGAGCCAAACTCAAGAATTTTTTTTTTTGAGTCAGAGTCTCACTCTGTCACTCAAGCTAGAATGCAGTGGCACACTCACAGTTACTGCAGCCTCAACTCGCTGGGCTCAGGCAATCCTTCCGCCTCAGCCTTCCAAGTAGCTGGAACCACAGGCGTGCACCACCACACCTGGCTAATTATTTGATTTACTGTAGAGACAAAGTCTTGCCAAGTTGCCCAGGCTGATCTAGAACCTATGGGCTCAAGCAAGCCTCTCACCTCTGCCTCCAAAAGTGCTGAGATTACTAGAACTTTAAGTGGCAAGTCATGATCTCACATGTGCTGACCTCCCTTTTGAAAGGAACTAGTCAAATTATTCTAGTTATTTTTACTCACACACAATGGTACTCAAAAGTTATTATGAAATCCTCCCCCTTCCAACTGCAGAATTTAAAACCAAAAATAAATCTAGAGCTGGTAATACCATTTCATTTTAAAGTTTCAATGGCAATCTAGTCCAGAGGGCACACAAGTATTTATTATTTATGATCCATTTTGTTCCCAAAGGAGATTTTTACAGCATGCAATATAGTATGACAAATAAGTCGCAAAGAAAAAATAACAAAAGGAAATTAAATATGAAATAGCAAATAAGTACAGAAAACATAAGACCTAAAAGCCTGTATTTCTTGTCTTCTAGTCTTTCACTCTTCTGATTTTCCTCCTATGTCTTTGATAGCACCTTTCTGATCACCTTTATCCAATCTTTAAATGTAGTTCTCAACAGTGAGAAGTGGCTCATGCTTGTAATCTCAGTATTTTGGGAGGTGGAAGCAAGAGAATTGCCAGAGCCCTGGGGTTTGAGACCAGCCTTGACAACAAGGCAAGACCTCATCTCTACAATTAAAAAAAAAAAATTAGTTGGGTGTGGTAGCACGTGTCTGTAGTTCCAGCTACTTAGAAGCCTGAAGTGGAAGGATCGCCTGAGCCCAGGTCAGCTGCGGTGGCCGTGAGCGTGACACTGCACTCCAGTCAGGGTAGGGTGGCAGACTGAGACTCCGACTCAAAATAATAATAATAATAATAATAATGAAGTTCTCAGAGTTCTGGGCTAGAATGCCTTGCTATTTCATGTAAAACACTAGGCAATCTCATTCACGGCTCAGAATTTCCATTACCAATTTTTTGTTTTTTTGAGTTGGAGTCTCACTCTGTCACCCAGACTGGAGTGCACTGGCACGCTCCTGGCCACCGCAGCCTCAGCCCGCTGGGCTCCGGCAATCCTTCCAAGTAGCTGGAACTACAGGCAAGCGCTACCACACCCGGCTAATTTTTGATTTACTGTAGAGATGAGGTCTCGTCATGTTGCCCAGGCGGGTCTCGAACCCGTGGGCTCAGGCAATCCACTCATCTCGGCCTCCCAAAGCGCTGGGATTACAGGCTGAGCCACTGAGCCCGGCCCACCAACTAAATTATAAAAATGTGCCAGTGATTTCCAAAGTTTACCTCCAGTTTAGATCTGCTCTCAGATTCAAATACAAACCTCCTAAACTCTGTCCACCATTTATGACACTATGACCTGCAGTTTTCCATGTTTGTAATGATACTTTCAACCACACACTGCTCACACAAGACACCTAGCATACATAATCTTCAACTACTTCAAAACTTATTCACTAACCTCACATTTAATGGAACACCGTATTTTGCCCTTCTTCCTAAACACTGGTCTCAACCTCCATTATTAGTCTATTGTAAGTCAACGTCATTTTTCATCAGGACCACTTCAGTAACCCCCTAAAAATAGCAGTCCCCCCTTATCCATGGGGGAAATGTTACAAGATCCCCAACGAATGCTAGAACTGTGGACAGTAACAAACACTTGACACAATTTTTTTCTACACATACATATCTATGATAAAGTTTAATCTATAAATGAAGCACACTAAGAAATTAGCAGAAACACTAAAACAGAAAAATTATAACAATATACTGTATTAAAAGTTATGTGAATATGGTGTCTCTGACCCCCCCACAAAAGAGTCATGCATCATATAAAAACGAACCACATATACAACAGTGGTCCCTTAACATTAAATGTAGCTGAAAAATTCCTGTAGCCTAGTGATATCATAGCCATTGTAACATCGTAGAGCAATTACTTTATTTCTTTATTAACTTACTGTAGGCCAAGGTCTTCAGTGTTTATAAAGTCTACAGTAGTATACAGTAATGTCCTAGGTCTTCACATTCACTCACTACTCACTCACTGACTCACTCAGAGAAACTTCCAGTCTCCCAAGCCCCGTTCATGTAAGTGTCCTACACAGGTGTACCACTTTTTTTTTTTTTTGAGTTGGAGTCTCACTCAGTCACCCAGACTGGAGTGCAGTGGCCACTCCCAGCCACCACAGCCTCGACCTGCTGGGCTCCACCTCAGCCTTCCAGTAGCCGGAACTACAGGCGCGCGCTACCACACCTGGCTAATTTTTTTATTTTTTTATTGTAGAGGTGAGGTCTCAGCTGCCCTGGCGGGTCTCGAACCCGCGGGCTCAGGCAATTCACTCACTTCAGCCTCCCAAAGCACTGGGATTACAGGCTGAGCCACCACTTTTTATCTTTTTTTTTTTAGTTAGAGTCTCACTCTGTCGCCCAGACTGGAGTGCAGCGGCCGCTCCCGGCCACCGCAGCCTCAACCTGCTGGGCTCCGGCGATCCTTCCGTCTCAGCCTTCCAAGTAGCTGGAACTACAGGCGCGCGCTACCACGCCCGGTTCATTTTTTGATTTGTTGTAGAGATGAAGTCCTGCCAAGTTGCCCAGGCGGGTCTCAAACCCGCGGGCTCAGGCAATCCACTCACCTCACTCACCCAAAGCGTGGGATTACAGGCTGAGCCACCAAGCCCGGCTTCACTTTTTATCTTTCAGACTGTATTTTTACTGTTCCTTTACAATGTTCAGAAACATGAATACTTAGCATTGTGTTACAAGTGCCTACAGTATTCAGTACAGTAACCTGGTGTACAGGTTTACAGCTTACAAGTAATTAATGTATACCATACAACCTAGGTGTATAGCAGGCTACAATATCTAGGTTTACGTGCACTTTAAGATGTTTGCACAACAACAAAATTGTCTAATGACACATTTGTCAGAACATACCCCTTTTTTATCAAACACTCTTAAGTCAAAATGCATTAATACACCTAACCTACCAAACGTCATAGCCTACCCTACCTAAAACATGCTCAGAACACATAATAAGCCCACAGTTGGGGCAAGATCATGTAACACTATGTAGCCTATTTTATAATACAATCTTGATTAGCTTAGGTCATTTACTGACTACACTGAAAGTGGAAAACAGAATGGTTGTATTACTCTAAGTAGAATTTCTACTAAATAAATATTACTTTCTCACCATTCTAAGTTCAAAAAATTTTAAGTCAGGAATCATCTATGTAACTAAAACTAATATCAAGACTATAGTCAGAGATAAATTAATCCTTGAGAAGATTAGGTATAATAATAATTGTCTAGCAATTGTGGAAGAGAAAATCCAAATGACACCCTTTAAAACTCACTAATCATTAAATTCAACATGCTTTAAAACAATGACAATGCAAGAACTAAAAGCAAAAATAATTAGTAGTCATGCCTAGGGAAATAAAATTTTTTATTAATTAAAAAAATCTGGCCGAGCTCGGTGGCTCAGCCTGTAATCCCAGCGCTTTGGGAGGCTGAGGCAAGTGGATTGCCTGAGTCGGCAGGTTAAAGACCAGTCCCGGCAACTTGGCAAGACCTCACCTCTATAATAAATCAAAAATTAGTCAGGTGTGGTAGTACATGCCTGTAGTTCCAGCTACTTGGAAGGCTGAGGCAGAAGGATCGCTGGAGCCCAGTAGGTCAAGGTTGCAGTGGCTGGGCGGAGCATGTGACTGCATTCCAGTCTGGGCAACAGAGTGAGACTCCAACTCAAAAAAAAAACTGCCAGGTGCAGTGGCTCACGCCTATAATCCCAGCACTTTGAGAGGCTGAAATGAGAGGATTGTCTGAGCTCATGTGTTGGAGACCAGCCCTGGCAACTTGGTGAGACCTCATCTCTACAATAAATAAAAATTAGCTAGACATGGAGGCGCATGCCTGTAGTTCCAGCTACTTGGAAAGCTGAGGCGGAAGGATCTTCTGAACCCAGAAGGTCTCCAAGGCTGCGGTGTCCATGAGTGTGCCACTGTACTCCAACCTGGCAACAGAATGAGACTGACTCAACAAAAGAAAAAGAAGAAGAAAAAAACTGGCCAGACACAGTGGTTCACACTTGTAATCCCAGCACTTTGGGAAACTGAAGCAAGGAGGACTGCTTGAGTCCAGGAGTTTGAGACAGCCTGGGCAACAAAGAGAGACCTTATATCTACAAACAATAATAATAATAATAAGGTGGATGTAGTGGTATACACCTGCAGTGCCAGTTTATTGGGAGGCTGAGGCAGAAGGATAGCTTAAGGCCAAGACGGAGAGGCTGCCAGTGAGCCGTGATCATGCCACTGCACTTTATCCTGGATGACAGAATGAGACCCCAAGTCAAAAAAAACAAAACAAAACCCAGAACTGTGGTAAGGATAACAA